GAGTCTGAGACTCAGAAATCTTGAGCGTCTTCTGAAGCAATGCCCCAAAAGGTTGGCGCTGTTTTGAAGGGCTGCTAGAAACGTTCAATTGGAATACTTTCTTTCCTTCGTTTAGTGGGAAACAGTTAAATGAGAGCATGTTCCATCTTGACGCCGCTTTGTTCGCGGTGAACGAACGTGAGACGCTTCCTTACAAACGTGCATAAACCCCTTCCTTCGATTTTGCTGCTGTGCGTTTCCTAGCCTGCTAAGGTAGCCGCGTTTGTAAGCGTTTATTGAAGTAATATTACGTCTGGTTTTTGTGTTGAGTACCTGATGTGTCGCTGTAGAACTACCTTTTTTCGGCGAAGCCACGGCAATTCCACTGCCAGATAACTATTCCTTGATTAGCGTTAGCCATGATGCAGGTTTAAGTTAACCGGCTGCCCTGGAACGGTGCTCGGTCACGCGTCAATGAGCGCCGTTACGTCTCCAGGTTGCGTGAACACGGGGCGGTTGGTTGTCATATGCGAGCTTCCCTTGAGTGGCGTGGTCCTATTATCAAGGCCAAGGGCAGTTGCGTGTAGCGTCTCAAGAGGTTTGCATGGTGCACATAATTTTCTTGATGTCCATAATTTCAGCTCGTAAATGGTTCTCGGAACCTTCTTCGTGTACTTCTGGTTGAATGACCCGTTTCTTCGAAACTGGAGCACGTGCGTCTGAATCTGAGTCTGAAGCGCCCGTGTCTGGAACGCTCACCGCCACCGGGTGGTTTTTGGTAGGTTTGTATTGTGCCGACACGGCATGCTCGCATCCGAGTTCTTGCACCTCTTGTTTTAGCTTTTGGACTAGCTCACGCATTACCGCGTTGTCTTTTGAATGCGAATCATTTCTTAGTGAACAGAGGCGACTTCTAACGTATCTATCTATCTATCTATATATCTATCTATCTATCTATCTATCTATCTATCTATCTATCTATCTATCTATCTATCTGTCTATCTATTTATCTATCTATCTATCTATCTATCTATATATCTATATATCTATCTATCAATCTATCTATCTATCTAGCTATCTATCCATCTATCCACCTACGACTTTAGCTCTCCCGGTCGTATCAATACCAAACCCAGTATGGAATAACATGACCGTATGAAAAACATGTTTGACCTAATATAACATGAAATTTATGACGTTCATGTCATGAATGTCATGATATACATTTCATGGTCCTGCAGCTCTTGCGGTTGTTTTGTTTGCAAAACTGGTATGGTATGACTTAATTGCATGGCGAACACAAGCGACAGACCCTAACAAGAAAATCATGACATGCGTGTCATGTAACACCGTGACAACATGCCACGCTCATGATGGGCTCGTGGCTGTTTCGCTAGCGTCACATATACGAAATTCGCTAGCGTCACATATACACTACGGGAATGTATGACGAAGGTATGAGACTGGTGCAAACGTGATAAACACGAGATGCGTGTTGTGTAACAACATGACTACATGCTATGCTCATGCTGCGCTCGCGGCCGTTTCGCTAGCTCAACATAAGCCAATTTTGGTATTACGTGATGTGAATGAGTGACAAAGGTATGTGGCTGGTGCAAACATGATCATCATGAGATGCGTGTCATGTGAGAATATGACTACATGCCATAGTAAAATTGCCAATACATTTCGACGTGACGCGGTGAACGTGCTCGCCGGCGTTGCCACGCCAGGCGCCAGTCCTGCCATATACTCGAAGACGTGCGCCACACTGCGTTGCTTTAACGCATGCGGGTTTCAGCACGTCCGGCGTTCCTTCGTCACAAAAACAGTGAGACGCAGTGTTGTCTGTGTAGCTCATCGGCGCGAAATGCAGCATGTCGCATTTCGCGCTGGTTGCCGTCGCACTGCGCTGACGGATGCTTGTCACGCCTGGCATCGGACTATAGAGTGCTCGCGTTTTGCTAACGTAGCTTCGATCTTCCCAGCGTGCACGCGCGTCAGTGCTACAGTGGAGAATAATGGTCCCTTCATGATGCGCTCACGACCATTTTGCTAGCTCCAAATATACGAAGCTTGTTGTTACATGACGTCAATAAATCCCAAAGGCAGAAGTGAAAGTGGTCCTAACACACATGAGACGAACCCCAGCATCCGGAGGAGAGGACATTCATTATGCACTACTACGCAATCAAGACGATTATGCCATTCTTCGGCCAACCGACCGACCAACCGACGTCTCAAAAGAGGTTTGCATGGTGCACATAAATTTCTTGATGACCATATTTTAAGCTCGTAAATGGTTCTCGGAACCTTCTTTGTGTACTTCTGGTTGAATCACCCGTTTCTTCGATGCTGGAGAACGTGCGTCTGAATCTGAGTCTGAAGCGCCCGTGTCTAGAACGCTCGCCGCCACCGGGTGGTTTTCGGTAGGTTTGTATTGACGGACCGACCGACCGACCGACCGACCGACGAAACGAAGATGAAAAAAATTGCCCGCAGCTTCCCTCGGGGGAACACTGAGGAGGATGCGGACCATATAATTGGTTAACGGGGTGTTAAAGTGCGACTTACTTGGGTCGATGGCTAAATTGGTTAACGTAGTTGTGAAATGGGGTGTTAAATTGCGACTTACTTGGGTCGATGGCTAAATTGGTTAACGTGGTTGTAGGAGGGGTGTTAAATGAGTGAACACGTACAGACGTATGCGAAAGGGCGGCGCTGGTCGAAGGGACGTCGATCATTGTGTTTGTGGATTCGTTGGAATTCATTTCACCGCGACCTTGGACGTCGACGAGCCATACAAACCAACCGACGAGCGGCAACTGAGCGAGCGAGCGCCGACCTTGAGTATATATACAGCACGACGGCGCATGCACTGTCAGCTGTTGAATGTTCTCGAAGCGCGACGCCACATGCGCGTCCACTGGAGAATCAGGAGAATTGTAGATGTCGAACGCGGTGTGTAGAGGAGGAAGGGTGCACAGATGGTGGAGGAGTGAAGCGCGCGCGGTGTGTAGAGGAGGAAGGGATGCACAGATGGTGGAAGAGTGGGCGACGGCGCGACGGCGCATGCGCGCGCGTCAGCTGTCGAATGTTCGAGAAGCGGTGCGGACGGCGCGGACGGCACGGACGGCGCACTACAAGGCGCGAGTATAAGATGCTCCGCATCTAAAATTTTTGTTCACTGGGCCTTCCTTCTTCAAGCTTTTGCATGCGGTTCGTGTGCAGCATGTTACACAACGACACGAAAGTACGTATGTCATTACCATGTTGTCTGTAACATGTGCCTGAGTGACAAACTTTATCATGCAGCTTTTTTATGGAGAGGAGGATATTCTTCTGGTCTGTTGAACCAAAGTACGAAATCCGATGTCGCAGCCTCAGCAGTGCATTTCTTGAGGGGGGGGGAGTCACGCGCACTAACAACAGCCCAAAAAAAATTATGGCGGCGCCCATGGGCGCCGCCATAATTTTTTCTGGGCTCAAGGCGTTCTGCAGAACGCCTTGAATAAAAAGTCTATGGTTCAAAAGCGCCTGAATCAGGACGAGACCAAACGCCGTGCTAAGTCAGCCAGGTGGCTCCACCAAAAAAGATGCTGAAGCTGCATGTTCTCGGTGATGTCGCGGGCACCTAGAACCACGTGAACCAACGCAGGTTTGAAGGTATTGTAGGCAACTGACCTAAATGTTGCGACGATATAACAGTCATGCTACAGCAATGAGAGTATGCAACGCATTTTTGATGCAAGTGTAAAGTTATAAAAGCGGGCATGCGAAGTCTATTCGTTACACCAAGTTTCAGCTACACAAAAAACGATAAACCATTAACGCGATAGCGTTAGAGAGCTCGAGTCGCAGAAGTTCTCTTATTTGCGTCTGCACCGTTGGTTGTGAGTGAGAAATTATCTGTGAGCGAAAACCCAAGAAAGAATAAAATAAAGAAGAAAGTTCTCGGTCCCGTTGAGGATTAAACCCGGGCCGTTCGCGTGACAAGCAGGTGTCGTACCACAAAGCCACGATGTTTCTTGCAGCTGCTTCGAAAAAAAAAACTACATAAATGTCATGTAGTGGGAAAAGTTTTCTTAAACGTCTTTTTGTCGACAGGTGTCGCGACGAAAACAAGCTAGTTGGGTGGTTTGTAGGCGAATGTGGGAGGCCATCAAACTACGCCGGAAAAGACTGGGATCGAGCAGCCATCGCCGCTGAAAACACACAGGAACTTTCAAACAGCTTTAAAAAACGAACAACAATAACCATCTTGCGGTAAACATATTAGGCCTTTTCAGAAGCGATGATCAAGCAAACAGCAAGCGCTAGATAATGTGCTGCCTTGTGTGAGGCATTGTGAGACTCTTTATAGCCTCTGTGGTCACGTGCGCGTGGCGTGTATGTTGGAGGCTACGCCGACCTTGCTTTAGATCAAAAACTGTATGTACCATTCGTGCGCGCGCGCGCGTGTGTGTGTCTGTGTACCATCCGTGAGGCATTGTGAAAAAGGTGTCTCGACTGCCACGCAGCGCCGTTCTAGCAGAGGGAAGTGGCCACACTGCACAGTCAGTGCAATACTATGATACGTCACGCATGCGCGGGCGCGAGTTTGTGTGTGTGTGGGGGGGGGGGGTATGTGCAAAACATAAGTATGCACTTAGCGGCTTAAGGGTGCACTAGGAACTGAATTTCGCTATCGCGTTCACCTCTTAAGGGTTTGCCTATTGTAATGTAATATTTGTGCTGACTCATTGGCAGATTCTTTACTAAATTATCAAGAACGTAAAAAATGTAAATAATTGCCACTTCACTTGGGATAATAATTTTTCAATTGAATATGTACCTGCATCGTCATTATCAGGCATTACAGCAGAAGGGTATATGCATCCTAAGTGAACAGACATGCAATTTTGTATTCTATAATTCATTGGGTACCTTCCAACATGCGCACTTTCGAAACAAATCAGAAAGCGAGCTTTTTGAATAAACCAAATAATGCCTGATATTGTACACTTTTATTTCAATTTCAGATGTCCGGCTCCAAAAAGCTTTACTGGTACAGTGCGTGAGCGAGACCCTTTTTGGCCTTCGTGCTGCATTATTTGGCCAACCTCGCTAGTCGCTCCGCTAGTTGAAGAACGTTCATTAGCCACTGAAGATGAACATCTTCACATGTCTTCATATCGGTACAGGAGCTGGAACTAAAAGACAAACGAGGGCTATAACTGTATTTCTGCTAGCGCAGCCAAGTAAAATAGAATACAGGTCTATAAAAGCACGTTCTCTGCTTCTCATTTAAGGGGGAGATTGTTTTGAAGTTTGAAATGTGTCACCAGTTGATAGCAAAGACACCTTTTCTGTGAAGTACAAGTGATTCTTTTCAATATACCATATACGAAGGAATATATTAACTGACGCAGCTCTCATCTGTTTAGATAATTCAGCATTTCGGCCAATAGAAACAAATGCAAATGTTCCCACCATCATACACAATTTCAGTTTTTTCGTAGTTGAACTGCACCTTGACGCTCCAGCCACACACATATGTCACCTCCATTGATGTAGCGAAGACATCATGATCATGAAGGAAACAAGAAGGAGAAAATGTCAGGCGTTCCGTATTCTGTGCTCCTCCAGACCGTTCGCTCATTATGTAAAAAATTGAAGATCGCCTAAGCGCCGATACTTTTTGTAATGTCGCTACAGAAGATAACCATTACAAGTATTTTATTACACCCTCTTGGCACTGTTAGCTCTACGTAATTGTTTTCACGCAAGTAATAAGCTCATTAACATGCACTTTCGTGAAAACCAACAAAATACACCTTCATTAAAAACGTTGTTTTTGATGGTTTTTGTCATGATATGTAGGGATTGTAAGACATGTTTAGGTTACGCTGCTGAGGCACCATAAGTGAGCAAGATAGGCCGCAGAAATCAAGCAGTGTACCGGCCTTACATTTAATGCAATTATATTAGGTTTCCAGCAACACTACAAATCTATACAGAGTTGAAAGCTTTAACAAATGACGATTCAAATAAAGAGGTGGTGGCATCACCTTGCCCCCTGCGACATCAGCAAACTTGGCCATGCAAGTTGCGATTGCAGCAACGAAATCTACACACAGTTGCTAGGAGTTCAACGCAATACAGTGTGGCGTAGCCACTATGTCGTATACTTGACAGGCACTACACGCGCCAACCACTCATGGAATTTGAAAGCCGTGCCCTGCCGGGAACTTATACTCAGCACCTTCAAGAATGGCTATGCTGACATCAATTTCGCACACACCAGAGTCAACACTAAAGCTAACTTTTGATGCATAACGTTCCGTTTGACTTTTGTACAAGTTGAGAGAAATATGCTCAGTCGCACACTAGTGCGTATTGAACTCGGTAAAGATCAACGTTGCGAAGCCTCGAGCTGAATTGTCCTAGGGCAAGCGTTTGAGCCTCATAACATTCAAGCACGACAGTAGAATAACTCTTCTAACTTCAAGGACGCTCGGTGGATACTATTGTGCCTACGTTTTTTTAGAAATAAGAGCGAATAATACGTTTGGTATTATTCAGATCTTGTGTGCAGCACATTTCATTAAAAATGACTCAAGTCTTTTGATAGTTTATGAAATAGCCAGCATCTCTTGCTGAGAAAACATGTCATATACATTTTTTAATCACCTGTCTAGTGGCAAGTGTGGTACCACAGTTACAAGAGGTGTGGTAAAACATAATATGTGATTTACACATGTGAATTATATATAGCGTGTATTTCATGCATCAGCTGAAAAGTTCATGTCACGTTCTTTCTTTAAGAGGTGTAAATGCATTCATTCGCACCGCATAATGCACTCGGGGTTTTCATGGCCTCTGCCCGCTGGTGTAAGTAGAGTTAATGCGAGGCAAACGAAAAGGGCTACACTTTCTGAAGTAGGTGCCTTGTCGCTCTTAAACTTTGAATTCGTTTTCTTTCACTGACTTTCATAACTTTGCAATTAGTGCTTGCACTTGCTTTCTATTTTCGTCTGCGCACTTCAACAAGAAAGCATTCGTCATCATGCCGCCCCTTCGAAGAGATATTCAAAATTGCTTTCTTGTTATTAGCCCCGAAAAAAATACTGGCGTCGCTTCGGTCGCGGCGATGTGACATCCCACAAGGACTCGCCTACACCGCCGTCACTTGTCGCCTTTTTGCGCCCACCAAGTACCCGCTCTTTATTAATACCGTGCTGATTACCCATCAATTTCGTGATGCAAATCTCTCAAGATTCAAGGTTGTAGGTTTCCCAACTAGAGAATGCTATCTAAGCTGTAGAAACTGGAGATACTTTAACTTAGCATAGATGCACACTTCTCCGAATGATTGGGTTGCTGTGAAATGGCAATGCACGTTGTTTTCATTGCATACAATCAGGAATGAGTGCTAATAAAGTATTCAAAGTGGTTATTACGTGATTACAACTACACATATATTCCAGGTTCAGAACTTATGTGTGCCGAAGCATCGCCAATGAAGTTTGGATTCTTTCGAATCTCTGAACTGATCGTGGTTTACCGTAGAAGTTACGCTTGCAGCTAGAAATATTCTAAAATATTTGACAGAATAGTGCTATTACCAACAGGGAACATTACACAAATCTCTCTGTGATAAACAGTTCTTTATCATATCGAGCGACTAAAAATTAATACTGCCTCACACACTAATGCTTCGCAAATGTTGAGATGTCTTTTTATTCTAAAAATATGTACAATTTTTTCTAAACAGTCGCCTGAGATAATCGTATAGCAAGATTTGCGTGAAATGATGGTACGGTCTACTATGCCTTAACAAACGGCAATGCTCACTTCAGGTGGGAGCACTGCTCGTAGCAACGATATCAAAAGAAGCGCCAGAGAGTCGTGATGGCACGCTACGCAATAAATATCCTTCGCCTGGATGAGGTGATGACTGGTCTCACACTTAATTCCAGGTAATCAACGGCAAGTATAAGTACATTACGAGGTGGCTACCTAGAGAGCTCATTAGGAAGATAGTAGCACCATTGCTACGACGCTGCTCGGAGACAGAATCTGAATGGAAAATTAAGACTTTTCGCACATAACCTCCACCACGCTTTACAAGCAAATATTCATTGAACTAACCAAAATTATTGCGAGAGAAAAGTGAAAATAAAACGTCTTGAGTAAGCACACGAGAAAAACAAACACAACTGTGGTGGCAGTGGTTTACAGAGCAAGTGCATTCCCGATGTCTTACCAGATTCAATTTTTCCATGAGGGGGGGTTTTGGCTTACCAGTAAAAGCGTTTTTCATTATCATATATATATATATATATATATATATATATATATATATATATATTGTGAAGAAGAAAACGCCTCGTTGGCATGCAACATCGCCACCGCTTGGGTACTAGGTGCTGGGCTTCTCTCGCTCGGCTTGTGCTGATCTTCGCCGGCATCTGCTTGACCATTGCTCTGTCCAGATTGCGTTTTCATCGTAGGGCTACCGTCGCAACAGTTACCAATAAGCGCCTTTTTAATTGGTACAGGGTGCTGACATTCCCCGTCGCCTAAACCTTGGGCTGCCATTCGCCGTCGCCTAAACCTGGAGCTGTGCCACCAAACGCTACCTCCCATCATGGCCACCGACAACGCGCAACCTGGCTCTTCCACTCCATCCCCTAGCAACTCCGGCGTTCTTCGTTTGCGAAAGCCCAAGGTCTTTAGCGGAGCTGATGAGACCGACGTGGAAGACTGCTTCGCTAACTACGAACTGGTGAGCGCAAACAACAAATGGGATGACGCGGAGATGTTGACTAACGTCATCTTTTACCTCACTGACGTGGCCGAAACGTGGTATAACTACCACAAAAACGGCATTACGACGTGATGCATCTTCAAAACGTCGTTTGCTGACGTTTTCGGCTGACCCGCTGTCCGCAAAACTAGAGCCAAACAGCGCTTGCGGACTTGCACACAGAAGCCATCTGAATTGTTCACCAGTTACATTGAAGACATTATTGGTCTTTGCAACCGTGTGAACATCGCCATGCCCGAGTCGGAGAAGATTCAGCACATCCTCAAAGGAATAAATGACGGCGCAATTCAGATGCTCCTGGCGCGCAATCCTGCCACCATTGCGGAACTTGTGACTTTCTGTCAAAGTTTCGACAAGTTGAGCAAGCAGCGCGCCCTGACTCGTCCATTTTCCTCACATGCCGACTCACTATCCAGTCTTACTTCCGTTTCTGATTACTCACCATCCCTGCAAGAGATTAAAGACTTTGTGCCTGAAGAAGTAGCTTGGCAGCTGTCGTTGATTCCCTTCACGCAGCAGCCGCCGTCCTCTCGTCTGCCCTCACCACTCCGCGACGTTATTGCCAAAGCGGTAGCTCAGGCTGTTCGCGTCGCTGCCCACCAGCAGCCTGTGGCCATGCCTGTTCCCCATGCGCCGGCTATGCAGCCAGTGGCCGCGCCTTTTACTCCTAGCCAAGTGGTACGCAGCAGACCCCGCCAGCAGCATTTGCCACCCATGTCTGCACTTGCTCCCCACTCTACCCCTCTTTCGACACCTTTAGCCGCACCGCGAGTCAGCAATTCCTGGCGCACTGCTGACAATCGACCGATCTGGTACGCGTGCGGTACTCCAGGTCACGTGGCACGATAATGTCGTCATCACTTCCAATCACAACACAACCCTACTTGGCCGTTACCGTATGACCCGTAGCCCACGCATTTACCTGCTCCTTATTCCTCACCGCAGCATGGCTACACTAATCTTCCCGAATCTCAATCACCCCAGCCCCCATCTCCGACTTACTCTCCCCGCTCACCGTCTCCTCGCAGGTGATCTCTGTTCCCAATGCGTCCCCGACCCGCTTCCTCAAACCGGGAAAACTGAACGCCGCAGTTCCAGAGGCAAGAACTGCGCCGTCATCGAAATGCCCAAGTGTCGCACTTCACCTGCTAACGTCGTCGGCATATCTATTGATGATGTTTCTACCCTTTTCCTCGTCCTCATTGACACAGGTGCTGCCGTTTCTGTTATAGCCAACCAGCTCTGCCGCTCCCTACCCAAAGTGACTACGCCGCTCTCTAGACTATCGCTTCGTACGGCTAGTGCACAACCAGTTTGACCTCTCGGCACCTGTAGAGCCCGCATATTCATCCAAGGCTCTATGTAGGTTGTCAAGTTCATCGTCCTTTTGGTGT